CACACACACACACACACGATGCGCAACACTCCGCATTTGAACAGTCAATAGCAAATACTTAAACTAGTAACAAAACATACTTACAGTCGCTGATTCAGAAGCGCCGGATTGTCATAGCAAAGTCAGAATTACCTCCTCTCCTAGGTTCACGAAACGGTCGTCCATAAAATGCATTGCTGTTTTGTTGTAAGTGATCTTAAAGATTCCTAAATGCATCTACTTTCGGAAGGCCAAATAAAGTGTTTTTGCTTTCGCCTAGAAACACACAGCGGCTCCCTGACATGGCTGCTTCAACACTAACTGCGGTTACTGAAACCACTCCTTCTTTCTTTGCTTGCACATTTGGGCGCATTATGCAAATATTCCCACATAGTGACCTAGATATGTGGGGGCGTGTTAGAACGAGCCGTTTTAGGGGGGTGTGGCAGAGTCTTAACTTTGATAAAGAATATCTCTTTGGTTTTGAGACTTTAGTCTTTGCAACTTCAGGGATCTTATCTATGCACCAAGAGCTTGTAACACCCCAAAGAGAAAGGAAAACTTGAAATCGCATCATATGACCCCTTTAATGTTGGATTTTTTTCTTTTCTGTTGAGGGACTGGAGTGATTTGGATTACTTGTGGATTATTGTGATGTTTTTATCAGCTGTTTGGACTCTCATTCTGACGGCACCCATTCGCTGCAGAGGACCCATTGGCGAGCAAGTGATGGAATGCTAAATTTCTCCAAATCTGTTCTGATGAGGAAACAAACTCCTCATCAGAAAACATCTTGGATGGCCTGAGAGTAAATAAATAAGCACATTTTTATTTTTTTAGGGTGAAATATTTCTCTAAGTCATGGTGTACCAAGTAAAGATATACAATCCAGCACAGATGACTGAACACCTGTCAGCAACCCATGAACATCCTGAAATAAATAGCGTTATTATAGGAGGCTTAACAAAGAAATGAACTTTTTCCACATTTGTTTATTTGCCCACATGGCTTGCTGCAAAAGAGGAGTTATTTTCATAATGACCAGCCTGGTACAAATAAGTAAGTGCTTAATGTCTTTAAAGCATGACATCCAGAGAGACACTCCCTGTTTTTTTAGAACAGCTGGATCAAAATAATCATTAAATAATCATTTGACTGAAATGACTACTTATGCATGGGTAAAAAAAAGAAAGAAACTGGCAACCTGGTTAATATAGTTGTTTACCTGCATCTGCTTTACAGATACAAACTATGAGGCTGAAAATAAATGCATAAACTAAAACATTATGATTTTATGAACATCAGTGCAAAGAAAATGTCAAAAATCTCTAAATGACTGTGAAGTACGTGCATGTTGGTAACATACTTTGCAAGGTATGACCCTTGTGAAAAAGAAGTGTGCTTAATTGTTTTAAGTGTGCACTTGTAGCATATTTAAAATCATATAAAAATTCTATATCCTATTAAAAATCCTAAAAAAAGTATATTTTTAAGCAACCATACTTGCAGATAATATAATATTAGTGAACTGGAAGTGTACTTAATAAGTGTAAATACACATTCATATATTTCTTAAAACACTTACAGTCAGTACTTTCAAAAAGGGCATTTTCTAATAATATCAAATGAAAAGTTAAAAAAAAAACATTTTAAATCATTATGTTTTAATAATCTTTTTATCATGCATTAAAGTACACATTTTGATGTGTTGACTAGCATACTAAAGCACTTGTAAAATATTTAATTATAATTTTAACTGCAGTGTGTTATTCAATATTACATTTAACCTGTTAACTGCCTGGCAATCTTTTTTATTACCCTTTTCCCCTATCACATATTTTACTAATCATCCTAAATTAGATATTATTTGAAAGTTTAGAGACTCAAAATTCATCCTGTGAAACTATTTTTAAATTTGACATTGTGTAATGGAAATGGTACTTTAAATTCTTTTAGCGGGCTCCTCCCCCTTTTTGGCAGGGTCAAGTGTAATATTACAAAATTTACTGCAATATTGGTATAATAAAAAGAAAACAAAATGATATTGTGACAGAAATGTATACATTTGTGACAGGAAAATGCATTTTAAAAATTCAGTGGAGTTAAGGTGTCACCCAGTGGCTATTTTTGGTATAGGGACTAAAAAAATCTCACAGGGACTGCAATTTTTGTGATATCAACTTCAAATTTGGAACATAACTTAGTCAGACATGCAGTTTTATATAAAATCAACTTTTTTTTAGTACAGTGCATTTTCTTTACTGTAAACTTAAACTTCTTTTCAAAACATTTTTACACTTTCATTTTTTTGAAATGCCAGCCTTAGGCATGTATTCCAAAGAGTTCATGAATTACAACCAGTTAAGTTTGTGTATTTTCATATCTATGTTCAGAAAGGGGGGTGACAGTTAAGAGGCTAAAGTTAATATAATAATTACATTTAAATGTACTGAACTGCAAATTTCACCATTTCAAATGTGTATATATTTATGTATTATGTACAGGTGCATCTCAATAAAGTAGAATGTTGTGGAAAAGTTCATTTATTTCAGTAATCCAACTCAAATTGTGAAACTCGTGTATTAAATAAATTCAATGCACACAGACTGAAGTAGTTTAAGTCTTTGGTTCTTTTAATTGTGATGATTTTGGCTCACATTTAACAAAAACCCACCAATTCACTATCCCAACAAATTAGAATATGGTGACATGCCAATCAGCTAATCAACTCAAAACACCTGCAAAGGTTTCCTGAGCCTTCACAATGGTCTCTCAGTTTGGTTCACTAGGCCTTTTCCACAACATTCTAATTTATTGAGATGCACCTGTATTTAGATATATACATAACATACAACTTTCAGTAGAAATGACATTAAAGTACATTTTAGTGTACTATAAATGTTTGGCAGTAAACTTTAACCATATTTCAAAGACAAAATAAGAAATTATATGCAAAGACATACAATTTAAGTGGGTCACTCTCTTAACACCCTTAAGTTCAACTAATTGCATTTAGTATAAATTTAAACTATGATATATTTTAATTTAATTTCAAATAACATGCAATAAACTGTCCGAAAATATTACATTAACTATGTGCTTAAGTATATTCTTTTAAAATATGTTATTTGCATTATAAATGCTTTTTGAAAAGAATGCTAAAGTGTACGTCTTTTTCACAAGGCAAAAATACAAAAATAAAGAACAACAAGAATGGATTCATTCAGCTAAAATCAAAGATCTCCATGCAGTGTTTCAGCGTGACACACAGGTGTGTGTTTACCTGTGCTTGTGTTGTCTGAGTTTCTATGTCTCTCTCTGTCCTTTCCTAAACACACAGACACACCATCATCAACACTCCGTCTACAGGAATCACACTACAGATCAGAGCTGCAGGCCGGCGGGCCGATGTTTACCGTGGTGAGGGGTCTGTCTCTCTGCTGGCGTCTGCGGTGGGCACGGGGCGACGGGTAGGTGGGCATGGGCGGAGCCATGGAGATGGAAATGGTCACCCTGCGCTCTCTCTCGCCGACCTCCTGCCTCTGCTGCTGGTCTGATGAGCAGTTTCACACACAACAGACAAATCCGTAAATGAACAATTATATCTGGAGCAGAAAATGGTGCTGGACGGGTTACACTGAAGGGTTTGTTCAAATCACTAACTTTACCTAAAAACAATATAATAACAGTGATGCTTGTGAGCACCACTAGCATTTAGAAATGAGTTATGAAATCATAATCATAATAATAAATCATTATGATGTTTTGTATTTGTCCTTTTTTCAATTGTTTTACTTTTGGTTGTACTTTTTGACATTTATAATTGATATGTAAAGTGGAGATTTAAAGATTTAATGTATCATAGCATGTGGATCATTTTTGTCATCTGACATTCTTTTGCTGTTTTTCCCACTTTGCATTACACATACAAATAACTTTATTCTGTTTTAAGAATATACATTTTCATATTACTATAGTTTTAATAGTTATATCCTGTCATTTACAGTGTTGTTATTGTCGACTTAAATTAAAATGAAACCTAAAACTATTATACAGCTTGGATAAAATATAAATATTAGATAAAACAATTTAATTTAAAAACAAGGAATTTAACCACACTGAAATAAAATAAATATATATATATATATATATATATATATATCATTGTACTGTATGTATTTCATAAGAACATATGCTCTGAGAATTACCCGTATTAATTCTATTGGAATGAATGGAATTAAATTCCTTTGAATTTATAACTCATAATTGATTGAAAACAGCCCAAATTTTATATATATATATATATATATATAAGCACATAAAAATTACTAATAGTAAAATTAATTAAGAAAGGAAAATAATATCCTGTCATTTAGTGTTGTTACTGTTGACGTAAAACTAAAACTATTAAAAATCAAAATTCATTATTCATTCGTTATTTGAAATAAAGATAAAATTAAATAAAATATCATACATATTAGATTAAAAAAACTTACATTTAAACAACTATCTGACAAAAATGATTGATGTGGCAAATAACTGAAATAAAATAAGCACTAAAATTGCTCAAATTAAAACCGAAATAAAAAATAAACTAAGGCCACATAGAAATATAAAAAAACAAACTAATAAAAATGACAAAAGCACTTGACAAAATTACTAAAACTTTAAATAAATGAAAATGAAAATGAAAATTGATAATACTATCCTGTCATTTACAGTGTTGTAATTGTTAACAAAATAAAACTAATACAAATATTTTCCTTAAATAAAAACGTTGAAATTAAATGAATTGAAATGAAATGAAGTATAAATATTAGATTTTGTTTTTAAACTTACAAACGAAAATTAGAATTGTTTTCTTGGCAACTAATTGAAATACAATAAGCACTAAAATTACTAAAACTAAAACAGAAACTGAAAAAATAAAGCAACCTTACTAACAACATTACTAAAATTTAAAATGAAAATATAAAAATAAAGCTAATTAAAAATATTAACAAATACTATAATAGTATATAAATAATACTAAAATAACACTGGTCCTTTAGAAAAAATGTTTTTATTTATTTTTGATGCTTCCATATTCCTCCTCTAGAGGGCAGTGTTCACTGCCAGTGAATGGAGGATTTTGACTAGAGAGAACGTCTCGGTTACGTATGGTAACCCTCGTTCCCTGAAGGAGGGAACGGAGACGTCACGTCGGATGACCGACGAATTGGGATCTCGCTTAGAAAGTAGATTGGTCTCTCTAAGCGAGATCCCAATTCGTCGGTCATCCGACGTGACGTCGAGAGTGACCGACTGAAAGGGAACAACTTAGATGAGCTCAGAAGGTGTTCACTAGGTGATTGATAACTGATCAGTGTTGATTTATAAGCGCGGCTAACCTCTGTACAGTGCCCGCAGGCTCTGTTTGGCATTTCGATGCAGCTCTTCCACACACGCGGGCCGAGTCGATGGCAGGAACACATTTCTCTGCAGGTGCCATGGAGCCTGATAATGTCCACTCAGCTTACTCTCAATGTCCAGATTAGATAGCGCTGCAGATGAAAGAGAAAATATGTTACAAAAATATCACTTGTACATCAGTAACCATATGTTTTATCATTCATGTTGACATGTTAAAGACACAAACAAATTGTTTTACAACATATATTCTTCCCACTTATTAACCATAAACCTCAATACATTTGGTTAGATTTAGGCATTATTGCACATCCTCTTAACTTTCTAAGCTTTACCAAGATAATCTGTTCACACAAAGTGAAACAATAGTCTTCAGTTGATATGAGCTGGTTAAGAATGTAGACCTTTAACTCAGTAGCTGAAAACTAAACCTGTTCTAATGACTTCCTCAAATGCTTTCAGAGAATCTGCAACTGGTGTGAAGAGCAAATAAGCTGAGTGGCTGATCAAATAGCCCAACATTAGCAAAACAATGCTGCAATCTGCCAGTGGCTAATGCTTTACTGTGTGAGAGACAAAAGGACTTAATGGAGCCAAACACCTGATTCATGAACCTAAACCAAACACCTCTACACCCCAGCACAGTCACTAAAGTCATCTATCTATCTATCTATCTATCTATCTATCTATCTATCTATCTATCGTTCTATCGTTCTAGCTATCTATCGTTCTATACTATTTGTGGTTGAAAAGTAAATGCATGTTTTGTGACTACACTTATTGCAGACACACACATTCATGTCTCGGTTATGAATAGACATAGACTGTCTGTGTGTCTGGCTGGGATGCTGCAGGCAGTTTTGACTATAATGTGAGTGAATAGACGTACAGCTCCTCTTCCTCTGCCATCGTTAGCACACAGCAGCATTAATGCAGCACAATCTAGGTCACAAACTCAATAGAGCACAACTCTGTGTCTGTGTTATCTCTGTGTGCGCTCCTTTAAGACACACACACACACGTGCACACACACACTTCAATATCTTGCACACTTTACAGCAAAATGACATTTTATGATGCAAATAATAAATGTGCTTTCTATGACGTCTGTAAATGTTCAGTAAAGTAAAAACATTTTGCCAGTATTCTATGGCAACATTGGGTAAAATCGGGTAAAATAAATATTTTATTGTTGTTTTTTAATCAACTAATATGTGACGATATTTAATATAAATTTTACTTAGCAGAGTAAAATTTATATTTAAATTTACTTATTTTCCCTGATGCTTTTATCCAAAATGAGTTAAACTGCATTCAAGGTATATGATTTTATTCTTTTATTTTTTATTAATTAATTTATTATCTTTTTATTTTTATTTTTTAGAAATCAATATTTTTGTTCTTCAAGGATGCATTCAATTGATCAAAAGTGACAGGAAAGACATTTATAATGTTACATAAAGATTATATTCAAACAAATGCAGTTCTTTTGAACCTTCTATTTATCAAAACACACAACTGCTTTCAATGCTGATAATAATCAGAAATGTTTCTTGAGCAGCAAATCGGCATATTGGAATGATTTCTGAAGGATCATGTGACACTGAAGAGTAATGATGCTGAAAATTCAGTTTGGCATCACAGGAATAAATGACATTTTACAATATATGAAAACAAAAACAGTTTGAATTGTAATGCATTTTCACAATATTACTGTTCTTACTGTATTTTTGATCAAATACTATCTATCTATCGTTCTATACTATTTGTGGTTGAAAAGTAAATGCATGTTTTGTGACTACACTTATTGCAGACACACACATTCATGTCTCGGTTATGAATAGACATAGACTGTCTGTGTGTCTGGCTGGGATGCTGCAGGCAGTTTTGACTATAATGTGAGTGAATAGACGTACAGCTCCTCTTCCTCTGCCATCGTTAGCACACAGCAGCATTAATGCAGCACAATCTAGGTCACAAACTCAATAGAGCACAACTCTGTGTCTGTGTTATCTCTGTGTGCGCTCCTTTAAGACACACACACACACGTGCACACACACACTTCAATATCTTGCACACTTTACAGCAAAATGACATTTTATGATGCAAATAATAAATGTGCTTTCTATGACGTCTGTAAATGTTCAGTAAAGTAAAAACATTTTGCCAGTATTCTATGGCAACATTGGGTAAAATCGGGTAAAATAAATATTTTATTGTTGTTTTTTAATCAACTAATATGTGACGATATTTAATATAAATTTTACTTAGCAGAGTAAAATTTATATTTAAATTTACTTATTTTCCCTGATGCTTTTATCCAAAATGAGTTAAACTGCATTCAAGGTATATGATTTTATTCTTTTATTTTTTATTAATTAATTTATTATCTTTTTATTTTTATTTTTTAGAAATCAATATTTTTGTTCTTCAAGGATGCATTCAATTGATCAAAAGTGACAGGAAAGACATTTATAATGTTACATAAAGATTATATTCAAACAAATGCAGTTCTTTTGAACCTTCTATTTATCAAAACACACAACTGCTTTCAATGCTGATAATAATCAGAAATGTTTCTTGAGCAGCAAATCGGCATATTGGAATGATTTCTGAAGGATCATGTGACACTGAAGAGTAATGATGCTGAAAATTCAGTTTGGCATCACAGGAATAAATGACATTTTACAATATATGAAAACAAAAACAGTTTGAATTGTAATGCATTTTCACAATATTACTGTTCTTACTGTATTTTTGATCAAATAAATGCAGCCTTGATGAGCATAAGTGGATTGCTAAAGCAGAAAACAATCTTGCCTACCCCAAACTGTTTATTATCCCAAAATTTACACAAATCACATTTAAAGATGATCCTCAACAACACACATCACCCTAACAAAACCTATTCCACAGACCTCTTCTGAGAAAATGCATCATGGACCTTGTTTACACCAGACAAGAGGCGTCTGCTAAACATTTCCTCCAGTACCTGCTCTATGTCGTCCTGGACTCGTTCAGCAGACCACCTCTTCCATCCCATACCCTGCCCCCCTCTGTAGCTTTGCTAGATTATTCCTCTCATTTTTGCCCTCTGAGGATTTCTCCCATATGGGACTGGATTCAAAGGTTTTGTTTAAGGGGAATATCTATCTGGAAGCAAGCTGGACCGGAGTTCTGGGTCTTGATCAAAGACGCCTGACTGTGAAGACAGACCATCATAATCGCTGCCTTTCACTGTGAAAAATAAAGCTTCCAGAGACGATTTCACATTTCATAGGAGAACCTGTGGTTCAGAGAAAAACCTGCTTCAAAGAACCCATGTGGGCCTAACTTGTAATCTAGAACCAATACACTGATCTGAAGAATGTATCATCAAGAACTTTCCTCCAAAGCAACTAAAGAATTCAACATCACTCTTAAAAATAAAGGTTCCAAATGGGGATTTTCTCTTTTTGGTTCTCCAAAGATCCTTTCAGTGTTCAGTTCTTAAAAGAATCATTTTTTCCTAAGTGTAAAGCACATTTTAATAATCTGAAGAACCTTTTTCCACTATAAAGAACCTTTTGTGGAATAGAAAGATTCAATGGATGTTGAAATCCATGGGCCGGTAAGATTATTTTAAGGTTTTTGAAAATCTTTTCTGCTCACCAAGGCTGCAATTATGGCATTAAAAATTTGGTAAAAACAGTAATATTGTAAAATATTACTACACTCTAAAAAATGCTGGGTTAAATACAACCCAGCGCTGGGTAAAATATGGACAAACCCAGCGATTCCATAATAGAAAACACAACAGGGAACTCACAAATCCCGGACAGCGTGAGGAGATCCCTCAGCAGGATCAATGCACGCCTTTTTACCTACACATGCTGAAAAGCCAAAACCAATATTAATTCTCATGTTGAGACTTATAGGTTCTACCTGCAGAATTCTTTCTATTTCATTCCTTTGTGTATTAGACAGAAAATATGCTAGAAATGGGAATTTATTGCCAAGCAACAATAGATCATCCAGAATTTCTCAAACTCAGTCAGTCAGTTAATCCAGGCCGAGGTAGTTGTGCTAGGGAAGGGGGCTGGGAGCTCTCTTCCTCATAAAGCTGTTTGGTTGTTAGTTGTTTAGCAGCATGGGGTAAAGAGCAACCAAGCAGTGATCTCTAACAGCTCTTTCTTTCTATCCCTCCACAGTCCAAACACCTCAGTCATCTCAGAGAGAGAAGGACATTTGTCTATGTGGGTCCTTTCAGCAGCTGTTGCACCTAATTGATATACACCCTAAAGTGTTTCCACACTAAACTGAGAAAAAGAAACAAGATGGGTGAATTTACCACTTTTGAGCATAGCATTTCAGTGCAAAAAGGGTTGCACATTTTCCAGGTGATCATGGAAGCAGTTATTGATCACATTATGCTTAAATAATAGAGATTGCGCTTTAGAACTGGCCATCAATCCATTCAACCAAGCGTTAAACAACAAAGACAACGTGCAAATAAACATCGCTATCAACGGGCACCATTCATTCTTAGTGAATCCCCCCTTCTCCACACAAATCAAGAGAAATCTCAAAGGTGGCCAAAACAGTCACCTCCAATGCCTCTGCTCTGCAAAGACATGAGTAAACAGCTCCTAAAAACAATAGAAATGGTTCATGGAGACCGCTTGTCTACTGATGGTATCATCTGAGATAAGCCAACAGGCTTATTCTGGCATGAGAAGTGGAGATGGGAAACAGAACGGGCTTTATCACTGAACCTTTTCCTTTCCTGATGTTTTTCCCTGTTTTCTTTGCTATCTTTCCAAAGTCAGTGCTATTCTTCTATCATCAATGTTATCCATAGATTGAACATGGTAAAACTGAAATTGTTAACACCACAGCTGGAAAGCTAAGCTGAAGTTGGAGGCCTTGGCGTGGAATCATGCCGGATAGTCCAAAACCTCAAACATTCATTTTCATTTTGGAAGTAAATTTAATAGATACTTCAACTACAACGGAACATACTTTCAGAACATTTTATGTAGTTACAGTGTTGGATTTCATAGCATTCTCAGCAATATCTTCATCTCGGCTCTTTTGCTGTAAATATCAATGGTGCAGAATCTAACCTTTATATGGTTTATAAACCTTTATAACC